AAGGCTAGCCACATCCAGACCAAGACCCCAACGTTGGGGGGAGCAGTAAGGTGTTATGGATGGATGTAACATATAAGGGGGGGGGGCTTATCCTGACGGACATGGGTGGGTACTCATTAGTGCTCGGAGTGCGCGTGACTGTACCGCACGCACGAGTGCGGGCGGGTTGCCTACTCGCCCGGCCCGTATAAGGCGCCGTGAACAGGGGCGATCAGCCATCTGGTGCATATTATAGCGTCGAGAGCGCGGGGCAGACCCCCCCCCCCGGTCTTGGCAAGGATCGAACTAACCAATTTGCATCTTCTTGGCACATTACTCGATTACAGTAAATATTTCGAGTGACCACTTGTCAAAAGGAATAGGGCAGCCAGCTTGTAGTAATTTTGATTTAAGAAGTGCATACTACCGGGTTGCCTAGCTGTCGGACAGCTCCGCGAGAAGTTGCGAATAGGGGGGCAACGTTGCACAACAAACCCGCTGTAGTTAGAACGGATGTGACAACGCAAATTGGAAAAGTAGTGGGAGGGGGAGGGGGGGGTAGAGGATGGAGGAGGGGGTAGGGAAGGACCCCCTCGGAGATAGATCAGCCGACGCAGCAGGACAACGATTGAGAGGCGGCCGCACCACCCACCGGTTCGACACCGCGCCCCGCCCCGCCCCGCCCTGCCGCGCCGCGCCGCGCCTCGCCACGCCCCCCAGGGGAGGGGATGGGATATGGCTGGATGCGCGAACGCGGAGCGGCTCGCTGGCTGGCTGGCTGCTCGGTCTGTCCCGCCATCGTCGCGACTCGCGACGTATACCGCGCGCGGCCCGCCTCGCTGCCTGCCAGCCCCGTCTGCCCCGCCGCCCCCCGTACACCGTCGACTACTGCCGCGCCCGACCTCTTTCGGGCTTTGTAAGCGATATAAGCAAATCCCACTGAACCGGCATTCACTAAACGCTCTCCACACAATTTCACACGCGCGCGGCCGGGGGGGGGGGGGCACGGACGGACAGACAGACGGACAGATGCAGCGGGGAGGCCACCGGGGCGGCGGTGCTGATCCAAAAGACCCTTTCACGCCTGCGTGCGCAAAGACCAGCCGACCGGGCCGCGAGGATTACCACCCGGCCGATAGGTCGATGATGATAGACATCGATACGTCAAAATATCAACTTCACACTTCTGGCCCCGCAGCAGAGCGCCTCGCATGCAGCATAGTGACGGCCGCCCCGTCAGCATCAGGGGAAGAGATTACGACGGGGAAACTCTCGAAATGAAATGAAACGAAAATGCGAGGCGAACGTAATGGAGTCTCGGTGTAATATACATTGTAACATCGCGAGCGTGGCGGGCAGCGGAGAACATCATCACTGTCGGAATCGCGATGATGCGCGCGCATTCCCCCGCGTGCATTGCCCGCTACAGCTTCACCTGCAAAAAGTTGAAGGAAAAACAAACTTCTATTGAGAAAATTGGATTTTCTATTTTTCGACTGCAGTTTAAGCTTAGATCGAACGGACCTCGCTCCTTTCTTTTGTCATGCTTTTGTCGTTGTGTTAGTCACTGCAACGCAATGAGTGCCCCCGCAATA